GTTATAAAATAAGCAGGTTTGCAACTCAGAATCCTTATCACACATTCTGTTGCTGCTGGGTTTGTAACAACTAATTTTTTTTTTGCTTTCCTCAAACATTTAAAATTCTTTTTGTTTCAATTATCAAGCATTCACTTTTCTCCTCCCATCTTGTTTTCCTTCGTACTTCCTCCCCCACAACCAAAAGAAAAAAGAAAAAGAAAAAGAAAAACAAAACCTTTGTAACAAATAAGTACTGTCAGGCAAAACACATTCCCTTATTGACCAAGTCCAAAAAAACATGCCATTTACTGGATGGGGTATTCCTACCCAGGCTCCTCACCAATCAAATCAATCAACAAACTTACATTCCATATAGGCTGCAATCATCCATCTAATGAAGCTATTCCACAAGTACGCCATGATTGGCTCAATGAACAGGTCTAGCACCAGGACCAAATTTGCAAGTGTGGCCAGGTGCTGCCTCACAGCCTCCAGGAAGACTTGCAGTATTTAGCCCCCAAACAGCCAGTTAAGCTGTTTCTCCATTGAATTTTACTGTTTTGGTCCTTGGTCTGGGGGGCATCTGGTCTTGAAACCCAACCTTTAGCAGCCGGCACACTGATGTCCTTAGAGAATCATATAGGAATTGCGGCTGAGGACTCTTAGAGGTACCATAAACCCAACTCACAAAAGTCACCTGATCAAAATATGCTTTCAATATGATGTAAGCTAGGGGCAGCTAGGTGGCTCAGTGAATAGAGCACCAGCCTTGAAGTCAGGAGGACCTGAATTCAAATCCTGCCTCAGACCAAGCACTTGATACTTACTAGCTGTGTGACCCTGGGCAAGTCACTTAACCCCAATTGCCTAAAAAACAACAACAAAAATATGATGTAAGCTTTTCAACATAACATGAATGGCTTTTATAATAACAACAATAATAAAAGCTAGTGTTTATAAAAGTACTTTCCAGATATTATCTCATTTCTATTAGAATGTACATGCCTTGAGGGCAAGAAAGCATCTAGCCATAGGTAGGCTGATAAATGTTTAATGACTAGCTGGGGGGAACATGTACTCATGACACATCTTTAAGTTTATCTGCATTAACTACTCCATTACTGTCTTAGGTCTAATCAACAAAACAATAGATCAAGCCCTGATTTGTAGCATTTTTGACAAATTTCTGAAATGCTCCTACTAAAAATTTAATAAATCAGGCTCTTGAGAGCCAGTATGAACTGGCTTCCGAACACTGATGCATCTAACATAGCACGTAGTACAGTTTTATTCTGGTAGCCCATCCTATGCATCAGTGATTTTGTCATTACGGAACTCCATGGTGTGAGACCTCTCTTCACCAACACAAACTGCAACCTGTTTATGACTTAGAAAATAAATTTGAAGGAGTTGCCTAAATCAACATTATACGACTTGCTCAGGATCACACAGATTGTTAAGTGTCCAGGTAGGACTAGAGCCCAGGTCCTCCTGAGACAATATTAAACACTCTCTCACAACACCTTGCTTTCTCTCCATACAAATACATATAGCATCATGGATTTAGAGCTAGAGAGGACCTTAGAGACTAATCCAACCCACCCCATTTTACAGACAAGGAAAGTGATAACCAGAGCATGGGAAGTGACCTAGACACTATCTAGTCCAACCAGTTCCTGATGAATCCTATCTATACCATCCCTATCAAATGGGCAAAAAGCCAGTTCTTGAAGATCGCTAGTGATAGGAAGGGAACCCACTAATTCCCAAGGCTGCCCACTTTGGGTACACCTTTGATTGTTAGGAAGTTTTTCCTTACATCAAGCCTAAATATAATTCTTTGAAATGTCTACCTGTGGCTGCTAGTTCTGCCCTCTGATGTCAAGAAAACCAAGTCAAAGCCCTTCCACATGACAGCCTTTCAAATACTTGGAGGTAGTTACTATATTCTCCCCTGTTTTCCTCCTGTCTCCTCCTATTTCCCTCCACCTTCCCCAGCCTCCCCTTCTTCGGATTAAATATCTTCAACTCCCTCAACCAGCTCTCAAGGCGAATCAGGATTGAGAATCAGGAAGAGGCTTGTAAAGTATACCAAATTAGAGACAGAATTAAGGGCTGTAAAAAAATCCCTGAGAAGTCACCATATAGATTACAAAAATAACTCTATTCTAAAACACAAGCTCATTGAAACATTCCTCAGTATAATAGCCCGAAAACCTATCTATCTATAAAATAAGATAAAGAAATTTCAATGTCAAGAGCTTGGATTTGTTTCTATTATTGGGCTTCCTATTTTTCCCCCAGATTTTGCCCTATGGTTTGCTACCTACGTATTTAAAATGCTACTCTGGTTGCCCCCTTCTTACATATTTATATTTGGTTAAAAAGCTCAGATGACTAATACTCTCCATAGCCAGTCCTAAAACAAGCTTGAAATTGGTAGATTTAAAGTTCAATCCTTGAGTATTTTTCAAATACTTTTAAAAAATCACTCACATCCACAAACTTAATCTCTTGTTGCTTTTACAGGTAACACACTTTGGACCAGCAATGTCTTTTCTGCTCAAAAGCTGCCTCCGGAAGCAGTTAAGTTCTCCAGCACCTATCTGTTTCTTTATTATAATATAATTAAAACCAAGTAAAAATCTTAGGAAATTCATACTTAAAAGGAGGTCACTGAGACATCTTTCAAAATACAGTGAAGAGAACAGACGAAAGGCGAGAAAGAAGCACAAACAGGAAAGCATCAAAAGCTACAGATTGTACTTAATATATAATTTTTTTAAAACGGAGCTGTGCATAATAGAGACCTGCAGCTTCATACACAATCATATTTCTGTTTTACTATATATGGAAATGTCTGTTTTATTTGTTTGTTAAAATCAGAATTTTAAAAAATTAAAAGGGAAATTCATACTTTGAGTGATGGCCTAGGAAAAGGGAGAGGAAAATCTCATTAGTTAATGGAAGGACAAACTTAAAACTAATTAATGTTATCTTTTGGAGCACGATTAGATCACATTATTTGTACTGTCCCTATCACAGCTCTAGTTCAGCTGTTATTCTCTTAAAGCTATCCTGGCACCAAACTGCTTTTCATCTATTAAATAAATAAATAAATGCCAATCCTTCCCAGGTGCTTGTAACATAATAGATGCTTAATAAATGCTTATTTATTGATTTTAATTAAGCCTCATCTTTAACTTTGTTATTAGCTAAACATCTTTCAAAAAACAAAACAAAAAGACTAGTTGTCAGAAAGGCACAAGTGGTGTCATTGAATTTGGAGTCAAAGGACATGGATTCAAACCCTAGCTTTGTCACTTGCTACTTGTGTAACCTTTGACAAGTCCCTTAAACTCTCTGGGCCTCATTTTCTCCATTTGTAAAATGAGGAGTTTGGACGAAATGGTCTCTCTAAGGCCCCTCATATCCATGATTCTACACGTCAAGTTACAGCTAAGACATGAATTTCAATCGCAGCTCTGACAACGATGTCTATGGAGCAAACTAAGAGGAAAGAATAGAGTTCTCTGCCACATTCCTGATTATTTTATGCTTCGATTAAAAAAAAAACCCAAAAAACAAAAACTCCTTTCCCCTACCCAGGGCATCCATGTCCTAATTTAGGTCGGGAAACAATACGTGAGATCAGAACCGGCAGACTGGGTGTGGTCATTTGGCAACCGACCCCAGGCCCATCCATCCCTTTTCTCCGTTATGCCACTAAGAAATGAAAATCAGCTCTACTCCTGAGCCGATTTTTACAGCAGCCCTGTTCCAAATTTCACCAGAAGCATCCCCAACCATGACGACTTCCTTTTACACACGCACAAATAACCAGTCGTGCCAGATTCTTCGGGAGACAAAGCCCCGTCTTTTAAGCAAAAGAGACCCCAAGAATATTTCATTTTTTTGCACTAGGGTTTGGCATAGAAGAGGCTCTCGAAGAAGACATACGCGGCTACGACTAGAATGCCTGATGTCAACTTCGCCACATTTCTGATACTAACTTCACAGAGCAAGGTAGACTGGCCACAGACAAGGCACCAGAAGCACTATGGGGTGGGGACAGCGCAAGTAGCCGAGGTCTGTAATTCAAGGCAGGCTGGAACAGCACATACAATTCGCCACACCAGACAGGATTCAACAATGTGTCTGAAGGGAGAGGACAAGGTCTGGTTGACACTGGCAAAACACTGGCAGGACACTGGCAAAATAAAGCCATATTTTAGTATGTGCCCTTACTGTTTGTTCACTAAATATTTTAAATAAAAATTTCCTTTAACAAGAAGGTAGAATTAGGACCTTTTTTAGGGACGTGAGATTGGGGGGGGCGATAAAAAGGGGTATTCGTTCCCAAACATAATTATCCGAAGGATTTCAGAATTTGTTTTCACATTTTACGAACTAGAAAAACAAAAACACTCAGGGCCATTTTCAAGCAGCACGTCTGTGGCTCTGAGAGCCTCCGAGCTTCGAAGAGGAAAAGGTGGGTGGATTGGGGATCCGCTGGATTTTTCCCAAATGTGTGGCCAATCTCCCTCCCCCAATCTCAAGCTTTGAAACAAAGCTCCATCTGGCTCAGATTTTACTCTTACCTTTCTCTAGCCCACAGCATCTCTCTTAAACCCAGCCTAGAGTCACGCCCTACTCAGAGACCTATTCCCAGCCTCCAGATTTTGCATGCCCACACACACTTGGTTTTGCACATCAAGTCTTTCACCAAAACTCCCACTTCATAGCTCTTTTTTCCTTCCCTACAACTCCACAGCACTACTCACCCCACCCAGTCTCCCGCCTCCACCCTTTTCTCTCCTGAAATCTAGGCTCCTGCCTCTTTCAACAACATCCCCCCCACCCCGCCCTTCCACCCCCAGCCTCATCCACAGCCCAGCCCTAAAAGATCCATCCCATCTCGCTCCCCAAAGCTTGCAAGGGGGAGCTTTCGACTTTTTCGGAGCAGGTTGCCCGAAAGGCTCGGAGAGCTGAATAGTAAGTCCAGGCATCTTTCTTGCCTTTAGAGCTAGCTGTGGCGAGTGGTCTCTTTGTGGCCCTGGGCAGGTGGCGGAGACATGCGGTGGTGCCGCGCCCTCTCTCCGACGCAGCGCGGGGACTGGGTTGGGAAAGAATAGCAGTCAGCCCACAGCTGAAATTCCGAATTTTGGGGCCACAACCAGGCCAAGGGGCATGGGGGCTGTGGGGTAGGAGAGAGCTTGCAATCTCTCGAAGCTCCTGAAAGGGGAAAGGACTAGAGATGGGGTTTGTGCATCCCCGGGCTGGGCCAGCTCAGCCTGCAGCAACCCACCACCAGTAGTATCTCAACACAAAACTGCCCTCCTTCATCCCATTCCTTACCCCCTCCCCCCGACCTCCAGTGCAACAACAGCTCCCAGTGCCCCTCGTCTCCTCCTGCACTACCCCGCATCCTCAGGAGCTCTGACCAGGGGTCACCCAGACCAGGCCCTCTGACCCCCGGTCTCCCGCCTCTAGTGCGTGTGTGTGAGGTTGACGGCAGTACTGGGGTGGGGAGGAGGGGAGGAATACACACTCCCACCCTACCTCCTCCGCCCCTTTTAGGAGTCTCGGTGCGGGGAATTACCTCCCTCCTGGTTCGTTCGGGATTATTTCCTTCCCATCCCTCCCACGCCCTTTTGTAAGGCTTCGCCGAGGTAATAAGGGGGCAGATGACGCTGCTGCTGTCACTCAGAGAGAAGCCCACTGCCCCACTATGCCATCACCCACTCTGCCTGGCTGCCGCCGCTGCAAGCTCCTGCGTCCTCCACCGTCCTCCTGTCGCTGCCACCTCCCTCAGTGCCGCTGCGGGGCTGGGGCCGTCGATGCTCTGAGCTGGGAAGGCGGCTACGGCCGCTGCTGCTACAGCTGTCGCCGCGATCCGGCTCCGCCGTGGCTGCGCTCTGAGCTCGGTAACCCCAGCACACTAAACGAGACTCCGGGATGGAAGACGGAGTGGGGCGGGGGGAGAAGGAGGAGCAGCTAGGGGTGGGGGGAGAGTAATGCGAGAGGTGGAAACAGAGAATGGGGGCGGGGAGAGGGCCCAGAAGGATCAGCTTCAACCAATCACTGAGCGCTTGGCTCCGCCTCCCCTCCTCCTGCACCCCACCGCCGAGGCTCCTAGCCTAGGACTAGAGGACTGATAGGGACCATCATCCCTCTTCTAATCCTATCGTCCTCAAGGCGGGGAAGCTTCGGACTACGACTCCCGTCAGGCCTTGCTACGGAGACGGGAAAGGAGACAAGTGAGAGCCGCACGAGAAATCTACTGCACAGCCCACGCCCCTCTTCCATCGTTCCCTTTTGGTTTCCATAGTGACCGAAGACACTTCACAAAGCCCTGGGCAGGCGGATCTCCCAAGAGAACTCCGGGGAGAGAAGAGGGGCGGGGATCCCAAAGGAGGCCCACCGCGTCCCCTCCTATCCCTGCTCCCGCTCTCCAGAGTCCGCCGAGAGCCCCAGTGGAAGTTGAAACAATGGCACGAACGAGCCACCGTCGTGCTGCATAGGGGATCTCCGGGCTGCTCAGCCCCAGCCCTGGCGAGGCTGGCTACTCCCCTACTGAACTCCCCGGTGCTCCCTTCTAGTCTGGTTCCCTCGCTGTTGCCAGGGCCCTCTCCTCTCCGAAGTGCGCAGTTTTCGGGATTTTAGTGAATCAGGTGGAGCGCACACACAACCTGTCTCTACTACCATGCACACAAAGTAGAAATCCCCAAGTGTGATCCTATGATCCCTGGGAAACCTTAATTTGGCAGCGCTTTCTCCTGGGCAGTTTAAGTTTGAAAATGGCGCCCCCTGGGTTGCTGTCCACCAGAATGTGTAACGCTGACTTAACAGCACAAAATAAAAGACTTGCTTGCATTAAGCATGTGTGCATTTATTTTTCTTAAACTAATGATGTAAAAAAAAAAAGATCGATTCCTGGTAGTGGGGGAGGGGCGCGGGAACGGCTCAGCCACCACACTCCTGCCTCAGAACTTACTTAGTATATATTACTGCCGATATCAAATCTTCCATCTGTTATCTGTATATATTACTGAATGGATTCTCGTGGCATAAAGCACAACCCTCCGAATCCAGAGCTCTGCTTTCTAAAGATGCAAATATTAATAGCTTTTGCTTGAACATCACTTTCCTTTCTAAACATATCCCTTCCGCGTCCAGAGAGCTATTCTTTGTAACAAAGACTTTCAAAACTACAAAAACAAAGAAGCACGGGGCTGGGGTGGGGGATAGGAGTAAGGGGCAAACCCCTCCCCCAAAGTTCCTGAAAGGATGATTGCAAAGGAGGGAAGTGTATTTCCTCATTTCTTCTTTTGGGTCAAACTTGGTCATTATAATTGTACTCTTTCGATTTCCTTTTTTTGTTGTTTGCTTTGCTTTTCTGAACCCAGACCTTTGTGATAAAGTTGCCTATCCTTTTTCTGGGATTTCTTATGTTACAGACTTTGTGTGGCCTCTCTCTATAGTCAGGTTGCCTACCCTATCACTTCCAAAATTCAAAACGCTTTAAGGAAGAAAATGGCTTCAGGCTCCAGATATACGAGTAAACAGGAATATCTCCCCTTCCCCTCCATCGGGTGGAACCTCTGGGAGTACTGCAAGGGATGTAAATAAGATTCCCCGCCTTAAAACCAAATCTCCCCAGATGGATCCTCAGGGCAATGCTGTAATACTAGAACAGTTAGGTGAGAAATGCCTCCGGGGATATTTCCAAGAAAAGTTGCTATTCACTACTCCAGCCCAGAGAACGTCACCAGAGGGACCCCTTCCCTCTACTGCAAAAAAACCTACAACCATAAGCAGTATAGCTACGGAGGCTGCGGGGGTGGGGAGAAGGCTAATCAAAACTAGACACGGTTATCCCCACCTCCTTCGATTCCTCAAGGCGTCCTGTGCTTTGCACTCCTGGGTCAGTACCTGGCTGGTCCTGACCTCTTTTAGCAGATGTAACACTAGCAATTTTGGAGGCGGAGCACACTAGGTTCCAATCCAAGCTCTGCTACTTACTATTTAGGATTAAACTACATTGGCCTATTTACATTTCTTTGAACACTCCATCTCTTTTGCGCTGGGTGTTTCACATGCCCGACTACGCACCTCTGTTTCTTCATTTCTCTGACTTCCTTCAAGACTCAGCTCAAATACCACCTTTTTGGCCTTTCCCAGTTCCTTCCCCACACCAGCCTTCCTCTTTTACATTACTGCCACTTACTATGTACAAGGATAGCTAGCTGGCAAAGCAGATAAGAATCAGGAGGACTCATCACCTTTCTGAGTACAAATCTGGCCTCAGACACTTACCAGCTATGTGACCCTGGGCAAGTCACTTAACCCTGTTTGCCTCAGTTCCCTCATCTGTAAAATGAGCTGGAGAAGGAAATGACAAACCACTCTAACATTTTTGCCAGAGAAAACCCCAAATGGGGCCACAAAGAGTTAAACACGACCTAACAACAGCTATGCACGTATTTTGTATTGCCTAGTTATTTATGTTATGTCACTTATTAAAATGCAGAGACTAGGTTTTTTTTAATTTTGTTTTGTTTTTTTGCCATTCTTTGTATCCTTAGTGCACAGCACAGCCCTTGGCACATTCTAGGCATGTAATAAATGTTTGTTAGACTGTCACCCTTGTTAGACAAGTTGCTTATCAACTTAGTGGGTATCAGATGCCTCCTCTGCAAATTGAAGGGATTGAACTAAGTCAGGAGTGGGGAACCTGCAGCTCAAGGCCACATGTGGCTGTCTAGGTCCTCAAGTGCGGCCCTTTGACTACATCCAAACTTCATAGACTGTGACTAAGTGAACTCTAAGTTCCCTTCCAGCTCGAAATAGATAATAGATCTAGCAGTAACTGGGACAACTGTAACAGTTCTGTGTTACCTGCACTGAGTCACCCAAACTCCTGGAGATGGTGTCTATACTATGCCTTTTGTTACCACCAGTTGACATTCAGAGTGTCTCTACGTACCCCTCCACGTAACCATGAAATAGCATTATGAAACCTAGGTCCTCAAGAATCTAACACAGATGGAGTGTGCATTAAGAAGGTTGGTACCCACACTCCTGGGTTTGCTACAAGTGCAATACACCTGGGAGAAATCCCTAAACCAGCATGGTATGGACCCAACACTGAGCCAGCCTGGAGAATGCATTGAAGTGAACGAACATGATCAGCTTTAGCTGGCTCTTTAAGGTTTTTGCTGAAGGGCATGATGGGAAAGCACAGGTAGCCTCTGGGGACAGAAAGCATTTTCAGCAGCAGCTTATAATCACAGGCAGTATCTTTTTAGTTCCTTATGTCTCCAAATTTTGAGTTTCCTGCTTGTTTTCTCTATAGGTCCATTTGTTACACCTGTTACTCACATCTAGACAGTACAAGGGATGGCTACAGGACCCTGCGTCTAGAGGGCACCATATGTGGGGCTGAGCCTAACCCAAGGATTTTTAAACCTTTGAAGAGTAGCCCATACCTCTTCAAATCTAGGGCCCTGAAACCTACACTGAGGTTCAAGGCATGATACGTATCAGCATCGACAGAAAACAGCTCATAAGCCCCCATTGATGATTTACTTTTACTAGACCAAAGCAGAGAACACATTAATTAAAAACAAAAGGAATAGTTAATTAAAATAGAATAGCAAGGAAAATAATAATAATAACCATAAACATATAGCATTTAAATTGCATCTACTATATGCCCGACACTGTGCTAAACATTTTACAGATATCTCATTTAATCCTCACAAAAATCCTGGGAGGTGGATGCTATTATTTTCTTCATTTTACAGTTGAGGAAACTGAGTCAAATAGTGGTTAAGTGATGTATCCAAGGTTACACGGCTAGTGACTGAGGCCAGATTTGAATTCAGGCCTTCCTGACTCCAGTCCACCTAGTGTCTGAGGCCAGATTTGAATTCAGGCCTTCCCGACTCCAGTCCACCATCCACTCTATCCACTTCGCCACCTAGTTCAGGTTAGGCAACTTTTCTGACTCTGAAGCTGCCATGAAATCACCTGGTTTGGTATTATCCTCTGCTGTTCTGAAGATGTCATCTACTAGCTTTCTGCTAAACTATGGTGAGCTTCTGTTGCCGTAGGTGGAGCTGTCTTCTCTGTTGTGCTGCCACCTGCTGGTTCTCCACTGAATTGCATCTGCTTCTACATCTTTTTCTGCAGGGAAGTAGTCAGGCTCTTTTGAAAGATAATTCCATAGCTAAGGCTATTTCCATTCTTTTTTTTTTAAGTGGGTTGGATTCACAGCACAATGCATGCCCTGCTGACATTCATAAAAGTTATTTTGGCTCTCATTTTAAAAGTTTGTATTTTTAAAGTAAGTTTGGTTTTAATTTCTTTAGTTTCATGAATAAAAAATGTCCTTTATGATTTAGTACTCAAAAAACATTTGCCTTAAAAAACAAAATTAAACTCCCTATTTGCATACCCTAATGAATGGGTCTATGATTCCCCAGCTGAACCCCACCAGACAGCCAACCAACCATCTGGCAAAAGCATTTAGGTCAAGACTTTCTTTTGAATTGCTTAGCTTCTGCCTCAGTGACCACTTTCCAAGGCCTACTATTTGAGTTGGAATGAGAAACTGCCTTACAACTCCCATGCCCCTGGCATGAAACAGAGGTAAGCTTCATAACCCTGCATCAATCAATCAACAATTATTAAGTGCCTACTATATGCCAGGCATTGTGCTGGATCTTCATTTTAGCATGCCTAAAGGGGCAGGGGTCAGGTAACTTTTAGCTACATCTTTGCAGATGAATGTCTGCTTTCCCTACTTAAGAATGGAAAAACAACTCTTCAGTATTGATGTTTACTTATCTATTTACAGCTTGGGTGCTTGTACTTGGACCCCAATTTCTCCCTAGCCTCAGAAACACTGTCCCTGACAGTTTCTCCCCAGCCCAAGGACCCTGTGCCTAGCAATTACTCATGAGTGGGCCCCAGCAAGACCCTTATCTCTCTCCCTGGTGCAGTTCCAAACAGCACCTGAAGGATTTATTAGTTTAAACTGGCTTTGCACTGAGTCATGAAGACATTCTTACCCACTACTATACTATCCTACCGCCCTACCTCATTACCTACATCCTGGGCTCCTCATTAACTGTATTCTAGACTTAAGACATATGTATACTCCTTACATCTATCTTGTCTAACAAGACATTGATTGGTGGCAGACTGGACAACTCTCAGTTACCCTGAACTCTAGTTGACTTAGTGATGTAGCAGGCCTAAAACCACACCTCCATGTGGCTCCCCTTGTGGGCTTTTCCTAATGAACTCTGGGGAAAATGCCTGCGCAGTAGGTACAAGAAGTGCATGTTCTTTTAAGAACTTACCACTCCTTAACCACTCCCTAATCCCACCCTGAATTCCCTAGTTAGCATATTTGGCACATGTTTTATTGTATTTTATCCTATGTAAACTTTAACTGTACCTCTCTAAGGTTGCAGGATCCTTTAAGAATCCTTGTCCACTGAAAAGCGTAACAATAAACTTTGCCACCTTGACTTAAAGAATGCTTGAGTCAGTGAATTCATTCCAGACAACCCATCCTGTAATTCAGTCTTTGAGGGGTCACAACCTCTCAACCTCTCACACCACAACACATCCATCCATGTATTTGTTCACTCACTGAACAAGTATGTATTAAACAAATATTAATTAAACAACTTTATTGTTGTTCAGTCATCTCTGACTCTTTATGACCTCACTTGAGGTTTTCTAGGCAAAGATACTGGAATGGTTTGCCATTTCCTATTGACACTATAAATATAAATAAACAACATAAATAATTATCTTACCAGTAACACTGCCTCTCAACTACCTTCCCTATTT